AGCCCACCAAGTTCAATGAATGAAAACAGTGACACAGAAGGCTCAGCCAGTACCTACCAGCTAGGTGAATGCTCAGAAAATAACTGTAGTGACACCATGGTGAGGAAATTTAATGAGCTCAAAGAAACACAGGCACAACTAGTCAGCAAAGCACAGAAAATAGGAGAATGAAAATTAAAATCACTACAATCAGAAATGAAGAGTATGGTGGGTGATACAAAAAAACTCAATAGAAGGTCTGAGCAGCAGCATAACACCAGCTGAGAAAAAGATTGAGGAGCACCAAGATGAGATGGATGAAACCTCTAGGGGGGGAAATTAAAAACAGAAGCTAGGAAAAAAATTCTGAAAATAAACTTATATCCTTTCATATGCAAAGCATGTGTCCCTGACCAGATTTATCTCCCTGGTCTCTCTAGTTACTTCTTTAAGAAAGAAAAGCACACCATATTTTATATTCATTGTATTTTGCATGCTACTTTCTGATAAATTACTTTTTAAAATACTAAATAAAAATGCCCTTGGTGATATTTTTAGTTCCATCCCTGGCACCACATACGGTCCACCAAGCATCATCAGGAATGACCCCTGAGCACAGAGCCAGGAGTAAGCCCTGATGATAGTGAAGTGTGGCCCAAAATCCCAAACAAACAAACAAACAAAAAAAAAAAAAACATTCTGCCGCTAAAAGTAAATTCGCAATTCAGAGGAAGTTAATTTCTGTGTCTTTTATTCCCCAATTAGGGCAGACGAATCAAGTGTAGCCAGTCCCCATACATAGCAGGTCAGTTTGTCCTGGCTCACTCTGACTTCACATATGGAAATAAAAGTGCCTATGTCACCCCACTGGTGTCATTCAGGGAAAGTGGCAGGAACCACTTCGCACTGGTCACATGTCTACCAAGACCTGTGGCCATGGCAGGCTCTGACTTCTGTCGTGATACTCCAATCAGTGACCAGTCTGGGATCAGTGTCCAATACATAGAAAATAAACTCAGTGACAAATCTTGGAGTGCTGCTGCAAATGCAAAACTTCAATTCCACCCCAGGTGAGTTTCCTTCAGAAACACTCCCTAAAGCAGATGGAAGTGAGGTTCCCAATGACAGAGCCATTTCTTCAAGATCTGCAGTGAGGAGATGCATACAAGAACAATCCCAGTGCCTGTTAGCTTTCCCATTACAAAGAGACTCTGACACAGGCATGCATTTCCCCCTAAGAATTCCCATCCCATCTTGAACATTCCCGTTTGAGGAGGAGTAGGGACTGGAACCTTCCACCCTTCTTGCCTTTCCTCTACCTTTTTCTGTTCACAATCTCCTCCCTCATGTTCCTTGTGCTGGCCCAAAGAAAATGGTATTGTTATCTGGCTCTGAGGTCCAGGGAATGGCCAGCAGAAGGGAAGCCGCAGAGGGTGATGGGTAATTGAATCAAAGGGGTCCACTGTATGGTAAAGGCTAGAACAGGACTCTTAGTGATGAAGTTAACCTCGTCTGAGTAGATGTTGACTTGCAGTAACACATACCTGAAATTTATATAAGGTTAACTATAAAAGCATTTTTATTATTAAAAGTTAATAAGAATTATGCAAAAAATTAATTTTGGCTAATGTTCAAAATAACAGTACCAAAGATCAAACTTTCACCCACGCAAAGGACAATGACCAAGCTCAAATGTCAGAATTTTCTTTCCGGGGCTGGAGCAATAGCACAGCGGGCAGGGCATTTGACTTGCACGTGGTTGACCGGGGTTCAATTCCCAGCATCCCATATGGTCCCGCGAGCACTGCCAGGGAGATAACTCATGTTATTCCTGAGTGCAGAGCCAGGAATAACCCCTGTGCATCGCCGGGTGTGACCCAAAAAGCAAACAAACAAACAAAATACCCAGAATTTTCTTTCCCCAGAAATGTTCTTTGGGATGTGGTCTCCCTCTCCCACCCTAGCCCCTGGACCTGGCTGTCTGCCTATGGGCAGTCCCTGTAAACAGATCAAATACGCCCTGCAGGCCTGTGCCTTTGCACCCAAAGCCTGAGAGGCCCAGCTCTCGTTCTCCCACACAGCCTCCCCCAGCTCCCAGGGCAGATGCGGAGCGCTGGGAAGGGTTCCCACAGTGCATTAGCCCCGAGGAGGAAGAGGAGCATCGTGCTCTCCAGTGTCTGCTGTCAATAATTCATGAGGTTCAGACTGAGGGGCACCAGTCAGAGAGTCAGTTTTCCTGGACGTGGGGGAAATTAGACTAAAGCTCGTTTATCTCATCAGGATGTGCTGAGTACCAAAGCTCAACGGCACATCTATACCCGCTCCGCAGAGGAAGACACCATAAATCTAGCCTGGGCCTCACATCCCCTTGTGAAATCTGAGTCCTTTTTTTCGCTGCCCTGCTGCCCTACACATCTTCTAAGTGACTCTTCAGCAAATATGGATCCTACGAAACAACAATCACCAGAGTTTGAATTTCAGACCAGAATTCTCTTTCCTCTAATTCTACACACAGGTATATCAGGTTGTCAAACTTGTGGTTTTACCAACTAGTAACATTCTTCTCAGCTTATCCATCTTTTATCATCTTTTCTTAGTATTTTTTTTTTTAAGAAAAACAGGGCCCACATTTCATTCTCACCAAACTGTGCACAGGGGCTTGCCAACTCAGGGATCAATCTCAGGGCCTCCCATATGCTGGGCATGTGGCTTTGCCACTGGAACCAGGTCCCCACCCCCATCATCTTCCCTAAGAAAAAAGACTAACATTCAAGAAAAGGGGCAGAACCCTATCCCAGAATAAAGATCTATCTGTTAAGTTCAATATGCTTCTCTGAGAAATAAATCTCCCAAAAGAGACCAACATAGAATGACACACTGTAAAGATGCCTCCAGACCCTGTGCCAGACTGTCTTCACCGGAGCAACTCTGAGAGGGGCAGGTGAGTTTCCCTCCCCGCCCCAATAGAGCCCAGGCACCCAAAGACCTCCAAAACTCAGTCACCGCCATGCTCACGGCCGCTCTCCACAGGCTCGGACAAACCTCACCCATGAGTAAATCTGCTGTATGTATAATCAATCTAAACTTTAGAATACCTGGAGCATGCAGACACATTTCACAGCCACACGGCCTCTCATACTCTACATCACTGATGTACCAAGAGCAGCACACATTTGATAGGGGTTAACTAACATGTTAGTAATCTCTTATACAAGAGCTTAATGTCTCCAGGATGAAATACAACAATCTTTACACACTTTCCTCTAAGGAAACTTTATTGGACCATTTTTAGCAGATTATTCATAACAAGCAATATAAAATTGTTTCAGTTCTGCTTTGGGGCCACAGTTTGGGATTTGGGGCGGAGCACTCAAAATATGGTGGTGGGAAGGTACAATGGTGGTGGGATTGGTGTGCGAATATTAAATGTAATGAATTATTGTGATCAGCTTTATAAAGCACTATAGCACTGTAGCACTGTCCTCCCATTGTTCATCGATTTGCTCAAGCAGGCATCAGTAACGTCTCCATTGTGAGACTTGTTGTTACTGTTTTTGGCATATTGAATACGTCACGGGGAGCTTGCCAGTCTTTGCCGTGTAGGCGGGACACTCTCGGTAGCTTGCCAGTCTCTCCAAGAGGGCAGAGGAATCGAACTCGGGTTGGCCACGTGCAAGGCAAACATCCTACCCGCTATGCTATCACTTCAATCAAGCTTTATAAAATAAAATCACGATCACGATCATTTTGTTGTTCATCAATTGCCTCAAGCAGGCACCAGTAACGTCTCCTTTGCCCTAGCCCTGAGATTTTAAAAAATGCCACATTCAAGGCTCTTTCAGGGTTAGGAGAATGAGACCCATCATTGTTACAGGTATTTGGCATATTGGGTACACCACAGGGAGTTTGCCAGACTCTGCAGTGTGGGCAGGTTACATTCGGGAGCCTGCCAGGTTAATTTTATAAAATTTAAAAAATATATATGCTTCTCCTCAGGAAAATTATCCTATTGTCCTGTTCTTTTCTTTCATTTTGCTTTACCTCTCTCCTAGCCTTTGGAGGCCACTGGGTTAAACCAATTCAAATGCTGCCACTGGGGCCTATTGGGGCCCTTCTAGAGTATACCATAAGCCATCTAGATTTATTAATTCTCCCAGAAACCCAGGAGAGAGATCATTCCAGCTCACTTGGCAGAATTGGAGGCTGAAGTCTTGGACACAGAATTTACAGCTGGTGAGAACTTGATTCATCATCCACTCCAGCTTACTCAGATCAGATGAAGAGCCCAGCCTGGGGCAGCAACAATAATCACTATATGGTGTCAATAATTACTATGTGTTTCATTTACCCTTCACCAAACACTTTCTCATTCCACAAACACACACTGAATCAGGGTGAGGCTAAAACCTGGGTGATTCAGGAAAATGACAGTGCTTCCATTCTGTGTCTCCCCAGGTGGCCTGGAATCCTCTGGCCTCCCCACTACCTCTTAAGACTACTATAAAGTGCGCCTTCCTCCTGGCCACTCTGCCCTGCCAGGACCCGCGGCCTTGCACGCTGGTGACCACGTGATCAGAGCTGCCCCTCCAGGCCGGGGAGATTGCAGATGTCCTTGAGCTCCAGCGAAGGGCAGAGCCAGTGCTAAATCAGCGACTCCCGTCACATCTCTCTGCCCTCCAGCTCTTGCACCCTCACCTGGGTGGACTCCAGGGGCCAGTGCAAAACATCTGGCCTCCTGCAGGCTGCCGCCTACGCAGCCGCAGACTCCCTTGGAGCAGGAAGTCCCTCTGGAGATTTAGCTCAAAGTGCCCTGACGCCTCCCCATCCCCATACCCCTCCACGGGAGGCGGCGCGGGCAAGCTGACTCCCAAGGGAGACCCGGAGGACCCAGGGGGCTCGACGGCCGGGTGCCGGCAGGGGGCGCCCGCGGCCACAGCTCCCGGCGCGCGGGACGGGGCGGGGCAGCGGGGCGGGCAGCGGGGCGGGCAGCGGGGCGGGCAGCGAGGCGGGCAGCGGAGCCGCCGCGGTCACCTCCCCCCCGGGCCGCACCCCCGCTCGGGCGCCATGCAGAAGGCGGGGCTGCTGCGGGGCTGCTGTGCCCAGGTGTGGAAGTCGCTGCGGATGGCCAGCTCCGGGGTGGCGCGCCGGGACCGGCTGGCGAACAAAGTGGCCCTGGTGACGGCCTCCACCGATGGGTGAGTGCCGGCGCACCCCCCACCCCCGCCCGCTGCTGCCGGGAAACTGGTCCTGACCCTTTGTCCTTTACCTCCCGGGCCCCCTCACGTGAGAAAGAAAGTACCACGTGGTTGCCCGCAGCCCCACGCACCGCCCTGGCGCTAGCCCCTGCCTTGACCGGCGCTGGCCCCGCCGCCTCTAGAACTGCTGCCTCCAGCCTCTCCCAGCGCCTTGGCTGCCCCAGTCCACCGGCTCCACCTACAGTCTGGGAAGACCGGAAGCCCCGACCCGACCCCGAGTTCAGGGACTGTCCACACTCCCAGAAGCTGCCGCACAGGACACAAGCCCCCTGAGACCAGAGTTTTGCATCGCTCGGTGCACGCAGGCGTCCCTAGCCCAGCCTCTCCTCTGAGCTGGCACTTTGCAAGGCACCAGCTCTTCACAAATCTATTATAAAGCAGGAAGGCATGGGGCAGATGCACACTGTGTCAAAACCTCCACGCAGGGGAGGAGTGTGAATTAGCCAGAGGGCCTGCCTTGCACGGGCACCCCAAAACAAAAAATAAGGCCCTTGTTTGAGATGAACAGAAGGTATTGGGAGGGGTGAGACTCCTTCACGAGCCTCCTGTCCTGAAGGGGCAGCCACTGCGCACCAAACTCACTCCCTCCCAGGCCTGCAGCCTGTAAACCTGACCCCACTGTGGCACCTGGAGAAGATGAGGTCAGTTCCTGAGCACCATACCGTAAGAAAAATACCTGAGCGAGTGCCCAAAAGGTAGCAAGTCTGACCTCACTTAGACAGCACCACGTGCCACTAACCTTGCTCATCACTTGGTCAGACGCCTAGAGGTCATTCCCAGGGAGAGCTAGAATTCAGACCCTCTTTCTTCCCTGATCAGCTGAGAGTCCATGTCTGTCTCTGCCCACAGGATCGGCTTTGCCATCGCCAGGCGCCTGGCCCAGGACGGGGCCCATGTGGTGGTCAGCAGCCGGAAGCAGCAGAATGTGGACCGCGCCGTGACCACGCTGCAGGGGGAGGGGCTGAGCGTGACGGGCACCGTGTGCCATGTGGGGAAGGCCGAGGACCGCGAACGGCTGGTGGCCACGGTGAGCAGCAAGGCTGTGGGCACAGAGCCAGGGGGTGGCAGAAGGGAGCCGGTCTGAGCCTCCTTCCCTGCTTTCCTGGACAATTTTCGTGTGAGCCGAGCCAGCAGTGCGTTCCACGTCCCCGCGCCAGCCCTCAGTGCATTTGCATTTATTTGCATTGCTGTGTCTCTCAGAATAAGCCCACCAGAGAGTCCACCACGACTGCTTTACCTCATCCACCGTGTGATGCCATCATCCCCCACCCCACCCTCCAAAAAAGCAGCTCTGGTTCACCCCTAGTTCCCAACCTAATTGGACAAATGAGTAAACACAATTGCAAAATAGAGGTTCCACCCACAAGCTAACAGCCAGTGCCCTGTTCTGCAGTGTGGTCCCTGCAGGCTATAGCTCCCAGGCCTTATTTCAGCTGCTTACCTCACACTATTTGCCTGGTCAAGGTTGAGCTCACTCTAATCATGACAGAGCCAGGCCAGGATTCTTTCAGCTAGAGAGATGTGCCGGAGTCACTGCACACAGCCAGGAAGGGGAAAATAGCCTTTCCCCAGCATAGGCGTCCAGCCTTAGGGGCTCGCTTACACTCTGGGCTCCAGAAAAGTGCCTAAGCCAGGGTCAGAGTTGTGCTTGGCACCAAGCTTCCAGCTACACAAGGAAGTATGAACTTTGCACTTCCCGCAGGCTCAGGGCACATATCTTTTTTGTAAAGTTGTAAAGGGAGTAGCCAGGAATGGGAGGCACTAACAGATGGAAAGATGGATGGAAACAGCCTGAGCAGGGCCAGCGGGATAAGTACAGGGGTGAAGGCGCTTCCCTTGCCTATGGCCCACCCAGTGCAATCCTGGCACTGCCAAGAGCAACCCCTGAGCACAGAGCTGGGAATAGCCCCTAAGCACTGCCAAGTGTCGCCCAAACACACACACACACACACACACACACACACACACACACACACTCTTATCCCCCGCAAAAAGTAGAAAGAACTTAGAATTTTACAGTCTTAGAAGAAGTTGATGTAAAAAGAGGCAAGTGGACATGTGGAGTGATAGGGAGTTATTGCACTCTTAAGGAACAGTTTGATAGATGTTCAACTGTTCATTGGAGAGGGTACACCAGACGTGAGTCTGAGAAGGTTACTGGCCTGACACAAACTTCCAAACAGAGCCTGAGACTGGCACCTTGATCCTGAGATCAGTGACACCAGGGCCAGATTACTGGCTCAGCACATCATCATCCTGCCCAAATTACCACCTCTCACTGCGCCCAAGTGAGTGAACTACCTGTCTTCCAGCCCTGCTCCAGAAGTGGGGGCTCATATTAGACCTGAAGGAGGTGGATCGGGCAGATGGAGTAAGGTCGGGCCTACTCAGGCCTACTCCATCAGGCCTGCCTGCAGAGTGAGCAAATGCAGAATGAACAAAAGGTGGCCTTTCAGGATGTGCAAATGCCAGGTAGCACTGGAGCAGAGCTCTCACTGGGGAACTGGCTGAGCAAGATAGCTGGGCACACCTCCCCACACCTCATAGTGTCTCAAGGGAGTTTTCTTGTGGGAAGTGAGGTGTTGAGCAAGATGCAAATGGAGACTAGATACAGGCAAGAAGGGATTATAGGAATAGAGAAGATTTTGGGCCAGGGACATCAGCAGGGCCAGTGAGTTCTGGAGCAGTGGTATAGAGCCAGACTAGATAGACCTAAGAGATGTTTAGTGGGAACCAACCACGATTTCTTTTCTAAGCCAGTGTCAAAACATGGAAATTCAGTGGTGGGAATAAACAGACACTGGTAGAGGGTGTGGTGTGGCAATGTCATATGCAGAGAACCCTATCGTGGACTGTTTTATAAATCACAGTACCAAAAATTTTTAAAATTTGGTTTTTAATGAGAACTGGAGGGACACAGAGCCAAGAGTAAGCGCTGAGCACCACCAAGTATGGCCCCCCAAACCAAAAATATTAAATATAATGGAAACTGGAATGATGAGTCCAGAATGACCCAAGTAATTTGTAGGACCCGTGTTGGGGTAGAAAGGGAAGGAATCCTTCCTTCCCGTTTGAGACCAGCTCTGTTCCTGTCACCCTGCTGTGAGGGACGCTGCTCCATTAGCATGAGCATACTCAGCAGCCTGATCCGCTTCTGCTTCTGGAAGATTCTCAGTGGAAATCACATCAGCCGCTTCTCCACTGGTCTAAACCACCCTGGAACAGTGATCACATTCAGAGCAAGACTCCTGACACACCTGAGAGTCATCACACCTCTCACTGTCTGCAGCTCTTGTCTCTTGTTCGTGGAAACCAGCCTCCTCTCCTCTGCGAGTGGAGAGACCCAGAAGGCCAGGGAATAAGAGGCACAGCCGACGTGAAGAGGCACTCGGATGCAAACCACCATTTCCTCCCCACTGAGAGTACAGCACCTGGCACACTCTAACCTCCTCAGTGCTTGCCTGGGCACAAGTCCACAGGCGAGACTTCAGCGGGTCCAAGGGCAGGTGACTGGACTTTGTGCCAGGACACCAGAATTCAGAGAACGGATTGATCCTGACTTTCAAAGACAATGGGGTTTGAAATTGTGTTCGGTTTACATGTTGACAGCCCAGGCGTTCCTTCCTCTGCAGTGTAGGAAGCAACTGAGCCTCGCACCTAGTTAGCAAGAATAATTAGTTAAAACGGGAGCTAACAGATGGTACACATTGGTAATAACACCCCTCTGTGTGCCAAATCGCAAGGCGCAAAGTTGATTGAGGGCCCATTTAGCTCTGCTCGCCCAAGTCACCCAATTGCCAATTCTGGGCAAATGCAAAGACTGGTTTCAGGTTGGCAAATCGTTGGCAGGTTTTTGCAGCCCCTTGATTACTCCACCTTCCCCTCTGATGATTTATTAAGCAGTGGGAGTTTGTCTTTGTTTGAGACATTGCAGTGAGCTGAGATGTTGCCTCTTTGCTTTCCTTTTGAAAATCCCACTTTCCACCTGGAATCTTCTATACTTCCATGTCCCAAACCAGGCAAGGAGGTGGTAATTATTGGGCAAGGAGCCATGGGACTATTGGAAGCTCACCAGGGGCCTCTCCGGTCAACGCTCCCACATAGCCAGTTCCAGTCCCTAACCCATTTTCGAAGAACCCCTCCAAACCAACTCCCTGCCAGTTCTGACCAGGGATGCCCGGCAAAGCACACACCTACTCCCAAAGCCCAGATGAGCAGGCCTCATACCCTCACTTTGGCATCTATGAGCAATGAACTGCCCTGGGGTTCAGCTTCATCCTCTTCACCATGGGGACACAGGCTGATGACTTCAACCCCTCCCGAGGAGACTTTCTATGGTTTTGGGGTTGTCGGTTTTGGGTATTTTGTCTTTTGGGATCACAGCTGGCGATACTCAGGGGTTACTACTGGTTCTGCACTCAGAAATTACTGCTGGAAGTGCTCAGGGGTATGGGATGCTGGGGATCCAACCAGGTCGGCCACATGCAAGGCAAGCGCCTGACTCACTGTATTATCAGTCCAGCCCCCTGAGTTGTTGGTTTTTGGTTTGGGTTTTTTTTTAATTGAATTATCATTAATTACAAAGGTGGCAAAGTTATTCATGGTTAGTTCCAACACCAGTCTTTCACCCATGCCCATTTCCCTCCTCCAGTGTCCCCAGTTTCCCTCCCACCCCTCTACCCATACCTGCCTCCTATGTCAAGTAATTTTTTTTTTTTTTAATGTTTAGGTGCTTTGGATTACAATCCTGTTGCTGATAGGGTATCAGACATATCCCTTTACCTCCTTTCAGCACCCCATCCTTCTCCAGGATGTCCACTTGCCTTGATGGGTGTGTTTAAACCCAGCGATAGCACAACGGGTAGGGCATTTGCCTTGCAAGCGGCCAACATGGCCAACCCGAGTTCGATTCCTTTGTCCCTCTCGGAGAGTCCAGCAAGCTACCGAGAGTATCTCACCCGCACAGCAAAGCCTGGCAAGCTACCCGTGACGTATTCGATGTGCCAAACACAGTAACAAGTGTCACAATGGAGACGTTACTGGGCCCACTCGAGCAAATCAATGAACAACGGGAGGACAATGACAGTGACAGTTTTTTGTTGTGGGTTTGGCTTGGGGCCACACCCGGCGATGCTCACAGTTTACTCCAGGCTCTGCACTCAGAAATTATTCCTGGTGGTGCTCAGGGGACCAGATGAGATGCCAGGATCCAACCTGGGTTGGCTGCAATGCAAGGCAAATGTTCTGCGCACTATACTATTTTTCTGGCCCTTTCCTGGAAAGATGTTTAAACCCTTTCTGTTAAAATTATCTGAGATAAAGATAATTCCTTCACGATCTGAAGAGTAGGCCCTTGACGAAAATGAGAATAAAGGAGCCTCCCCCAAGGGAAAGTGTAAGAAAAGAGCCTAGTCAGAGAAAGACACAGAAGTGGAAAGAGGGGCATAGTGGAGAGATGAATCTGGACGGGGGAGGAAAAAAGTCTAGGAACTGGAGCAATAGCACAGCAGGTAGGGCATTTGCTGGCCAACCCAGGTTCGATTCCCAGAATCCCATATGGTCCCCTGAGCACCACCAGGAGTAATTCCTGAGTGCAGAGCCAGGAGTAACCCCTGTGCATCGCTGGGTGTGACCCAAAAAACAAAAAAAAAAATCTGGTGACTGAAGTGCTTGGGGAGCTTGGAGGGGAAAAATGTTACAAGGAAAAGAGATGTTTCTTTGACAGTTGTTCCTAAGTAGGAACATCCAGGGGCCAGAAAGGTAAGCAAGCACTGGTCCAACCCCCAGCATCCCATATGGTCCCCTGAGCCCCATTCCTGGATCGCAGAACCCACAGTAACCCCTGTGTTAACCGCTGGGTGTTGCCTCCCCCCCAAAAAAAGACTTTAAAAAATAATAAGGAACATCGGCATTGATAGAGAAAATGTCCTTACGACCAGCAGCCCTGACTCACACCTACTCCTCTCTCCAGGCTGTGAAACTCCACGGGGGTGTGGACATACTGGTGTCCAATGCAGCCGTCAACCCTTTCTTTGGAAATATGCTGGATGCCTCAGAAGAAGTGTGGGACAAGGTAAGGGGTGATTCAAAGAGCAGAGGACAAGGCCTCAGGAATCACCAGTCTGCTTTTAGGATGCATTTGTCAAGTTCTAGTTAAATGTGTGAATCCTCGTCATTCGTCCTAGAGTGTACCTAGGGAAGGGGTGGCTTCCTTTCTCCTGCCCTGTTCTTTCCTTGCTGCTTCTCCCTATGGTGTCTTCTTCCATTTCCTCTTTGCCAGCCTCCTGCTCCCCACACTCCCATCCCCCACCTTAAGTCTTTCTAACCAAACTCCTCTTCCTGGTTTGTTTCCAACAGAGACATGGCAGCTAATATGCCAACAACTACTTACACGCATACACCAGCCGTCCCCTTTCAGCTGCCAAAGAAAGAATGATTTTCATTAGTTGGAAGACTTTCACAGCTAGTTAAATGAAATGCCGGTTCTCATGAAATGACCTAACATGTCACATTCTAACACACACAGACTTTGGGGCTGGAGAGATAGCACAGCAGATAATGCCCTTGTATACTAGTGACCCAGATTTGATCCCTGGCATCACGTAGAGTTCCCTGAGTCCTGCCAGGAATGATGAGCACAGAGCCAGGAGTAAGCCCTGAACACTGCTGGGTGTGATCCAAAAAAAAAGAGAAGAAAAGAACCCCACAGACTTTGAAAATAACTTGTGCTCTTTCCTTCTTACCTCCAATGTCAAGAACATCTAACATCCAGATGTCTAGATTCAAATGCTCTAAAATTGGCTTTTATGTGGCATGTTTAATTAGATTCTATTTATAGTATATTTCCTGCACTTCTGTCCTTTCCTTATAAAGCCTTAATTAACATATCTGTCTTTGTTTACTACCAGTTAATAGTCCCACATGATTTGGACATGCTAAATTTTTTTAAGATCTCCCTTTTTTTATTCTAATATCAATAATTGCTTAACATTGAAGTTTAAGGATGGAAAAATACTATAGTTTATCAGTATTTAACAGGCAGGAGGACCAAAGTGACACAATGTTCTTCAGTGAGCCAGTTCCTGATTGATATTCTTTCAAGTAGAGGCGAATCTTTCATGAGAAGCCTAGATAGAGACCACATAAAAAATCAGTTTTGAACTCATAATTTTTCTTTCGAGTTGACTTTTTTCTAATATCAGAGTACATCAAATCCAAGATAATCATTGATCTGTAATTGAACCTGGATTATTAAGGTCATTTGTGAGACTGCGGGGGGTGGGGTGCGGATTTTATTATGGACAGCATAATAGGCCGATGGGAAATGTTCAGGTTGTGATCATGGATGGAGGTGTGTAGGAGAATACCCTTATTCTGAAGAACTCATGGAAAAGAAGTCCAGGCATCACGATACCAGCCACTTACCTTCAAGGAATCTATAAAGCCTGATCAGGCTCACAGGACAGATGAGGTGGCAGGTAGACCAGCTGGCTGATTATGGGTGAAGCATAGCTGACTATTGTTTGCATTCTAATGGTGACTTTCCAGAAGACTGGAATATTCCAGTATAAGTTACCACAGGGGACCCTGGATGAGAATGTCCCTGCTGTACCGCGCATACCATTAGCAAGAGCCGTGCACTTTCATCATGAAGTGATTTTTTTTTTATTGCATGAAGCTTATGCCCAGCAGCCCCCAAAGTGTCTCCCCATGACCCCATATTCTAACAGATGTTCAGCCAAAGGCTAGAGAGATAGTTTAGTGGGCCAGCCACAGGCTTTGCATGGAGGAAGCCTGGATTTGGCACCACATGATTCCCCCAATCCCCTCCAGAAACAAACCCCCAGCACCAAGCCCAGAGCTGCTTCTCAACCAGGTGTGGCCCAAGAACAAACTTTTAAAAACATTTTTGGTAATAAGTAAATGTCCATCTTAACAGCCCATCTCAGAGAGATGGCTGGGAGCCTCTCTGTAGGCTCAGAAGAACCCAGAAGCCACACTTACCCCCGCAAAGCATTTCTCCCTCCAGGACACACCCAGGAGACCTACCATGTCCAGGTTCTCCTTCATCTGCATAAAGACATGCAGAAATCCAGCTCAAATCTAGGGAAGGCTGGAGTGTTTAGAATGATCTGGGCCATAGTTCAATAGTTAACTGCCTGCCCAGTTAAATATTCTGGGTTTTCTGGACATCTCCAAACTCCACAACTCCAACATGCCCGTAGTAACACACCAGCTGGATGAGATGTAGCACAAAAGCCAAACAATTTCAGCTAACAAAAACATGAACACAGAAGGCTTAACTTGTAACAAGAGTTTTGTAAACCCTCAAACAAGGACTTAATGTCCCCATGGAGAGATGCATCAGTGTTCACAAATTTTCTTCTACGGAAATATTTTCAAATTATTCCATTAGCCATTTAGTGGTAAAAAGCAATATAAAATAAATTATTATGGGCCTTCTACAGGAGCAGGCTTGCGGAGTGGTTGGGAAAATGGAGATAATGATGGAGGGGAGGTGAGAGGGGTGGTGGGATTGGTGTTGGAATACTGAATCCTTGTAACAAACCATGGTGAACAGCTTTGTAAACCACCATGTTTAATAAGTGGGAGGAAGAAAAGAAAAATAATCTGGGCCAGGGAGCAGAACAATAGTGCAGGAGATAAGGCCCTGGCCTTGCATGCAGCTGTGGCCGTGACCTTAGTTTGAATTCCAGGCACCTCCTATGGTCCCCTGAGTACCACCAGGAGTCATCCTAAGCACAGAGCTAGGAGTAACCCCTGAGCACCACGAAGTGTGGCCCAACCCTTCACTCCAATAACTAAAACAATTTTAAAAAGTTTTTGAAAGCATATTCTGGGCCAGTTTGACTGGCTAGGAAATGAGATGAAGCAGGCTCCATTCTTTCTCATACAAAAGTGCCAGTGAGTTCATGAAAGACACTTCTCTCCAAGCCTGGATTTTTTTTTTCTCTCCTAAGGTCCAGGTGACTCACCTCTGAGATCCTCATCGAACCTGAAAGCACAGGTCCACAGAACCACACCATCCCCACCTCATCACCCTGCCTTCTCCAGTACTCCTCCCTCACATATCCTTCCCCTTCTCTCACTTTCAGATTCTGGACATTAATGTGAAGGCCACAGCCCTGATCACAAAGGCAGTGGTGCCCGAGATGGAAAAACGCGGGTACAGAGGGCTGGAGGGAGGCATGGTGGCAGGGGACACCCACAGGCTGGAGACAGCAGTCTCCACGGAGCTGAGGGTCATTCTCTTCCCTTTCCAGAGGCGGTTCAGTGGTGATCGTGGCCTCCATCGCAGGCTACAGTCCATTTCCGGTAAGAACTGCTCACTTGACCTGTTTCTTCTGCCCCTCCAGGTCCCTTGAGAAACTTCATCCCTCCGGGGAATCACACCAAGTTCCCTGCAAAAAAATAAATAGATAAAATAAAAGACTCTGGGGAAGTTTGCTTTGCACCCCCATTCCAACACACTAATCTAGTGGGGCATGTGGCAGTTGTCTAAGTGGGAGCTTCCTGATGGGACATAATCTGTTTATCTACTGTCCTTTATGTGTCACAATCAGAAGCAAGACAGAGAGCCGAGAAGTGCAAACAGAGGTTAAGGCCAGCCTTACATATGGCTGGTCACAATACAATCTCCCAAGAGTAACCCTGGGAGCAGCCTCTGAGTAGCTCCCAATCACAAAGCTAAGTGGGACCCAGACTCCCCACTCCAACCCCCAAAAGGAAAAAGAAACAAGAAAGCACTGCAAGAAAGAGACTGACCCACTCTCTCGTCTGCCCAGGGCCTGGGTCCTTACAATGTGAGTAAAACAGCCTTGTTGGGCCTCACCAAGAACCTAGCGTTGGAGCTGGGCCCAAGGAACATCCGTGTGAACTGCCTGGCCCCGGGCCTCATCAAGACCAGCTTCAGCAGTGTGGTGAGAAATGACGGTCCTGCATCCCTGGGCACTCTGAGTGGGCACCTCCATGTGTAGTGTAGTGAGTGGCAGGGGGATAGCACCTGGGACCTGAGCTCCCAGCCCGCCCCACGCCTCCCTGGGCTTTGCTCTTTCCGTGATCCGCCCCCTGGACAGAGAGCCCACAGCCCCGTCCCTGGGACTTCTTAGGGTGTGGAACTAAGGAATCCAGACGTTCCTCGTATGGTTTCCTGTCTTCATACATGGTTGAAGTAGGGGAAACCCACCAAAATGCCTCCCCGGAATCTAATCAGAATCTGATCAGAAAATAATGGAAGGTGGAGGAAAGAGATGGGGAGAGAAGGACTTAACAGTGCCAGGACTTAACTCCATTGCACTAATAGCCTCCCAGCTCTCCATTTGCCTCCCACTTTCACCTAAAAGACAGTTTTCTTTTTTACTTGCAGTTTTGGACAGACAAGGCAAGAGAAGACAGCATAAAAGAAATCATGCGGATAGGCAGGTGAGGCTCTCACAGGGAGGGTTGAGAAGGATGAAGACGGAAGGACTGTTCCCTCACATATTCCCGGACAGCACAGACTGGCTCGTCTCTGCCTCAGAGTTCACACAGTCTGAAGCTCCACCACCCCAGGACACGGGCGAGGGGTCAGCTTCCATTGCAGGAACTCAACACAGAAGCTTCTGGGTTTTAGGAGAGCAGGACTCTGGAAAAGACCCTGCCTCCTTCCTCCTAGCGTGAGAGACCATGTTCTTTAGGTTCCCCTTCAGTGATACGAAGTCCAATTTCCAGAGCTCAAGTTGATGATCCTACCATCCAAATGAAAGGAGTAAAGAGCTTCAATGATAGTCCAACTTCCTTTCGCTAAGAAAAATGCCCTCTTCCCTCCTCCCCCCCCCCAAGAGCCCAGCACTTTCCCCAAGCTCCCATCCCTCAGCATTCCCTGCCTCATTCCTGATTTAGGTCTCTGGAAGACTCTCATCTTCAGCATCTTCATTTTGCTCCTTCATTTTGCCAGCAAGGCCCGTTGTCTGCTGACCCCACGTCCCAGCCCTCCAGCACTCCCACAGCCATCCTGGTGTCAGCATGAGCATTATGTCAGCTGAGGGGCTGAGTTCACAAGTTCCTCATTAGGAAGGCATTGTTCTGCTTGTGCCCCAGTAATTCTTGAGCCCCATCGTGTTCCATTGTGAATGCACGTTAGAATAAGTCAGGGATGGGACTGGAGCCATAGCACAGCGGGTAGGGCGTTTGCCTTGCATGCAGCTGACCCAGGTTCGATTCCCAGCATCTTATATGGTCTCCCGAGCACTGCCAGGAGTAATTCCTGAGTGCATGAGCCAGGGAGCCAGGAGTAACCCCTGTGCAGCGCCTGGTGTGACCCAAAAAGAAAAAAAAAAAAAGAATAAGTCAGGGAAACTTGAAATTCTAGCTGCTCAGGTCACTCCTGGGGTGGAGGGTGGGGGAATTGTTCTTGTTATTATTGTTGTTTGAGGCCATACTCGTTGGTATTCAGTGCCCCAGGGCCTCTCCCAGTAGTTCAAGGGCATCAGCAGGGCAACACCTACCAATGTTGGGGACAGCGTAAATCAGGGATTGAACCCAGGGCTTCACATATGTAAGGCATGTGCTCTACCACCTGAACTACGTCCCCAGCTGCCTAGAGATTCCATTGTAAGGGCCAAAACATCTTCCTTTTTTGAAGTAAGTGGAGGGTTAAGCCTACTTGATGATTACAGTGTACAGCTAAAATGGAAAATCACTAATCCAGGCCTTCTAGGTACAAGTTCTACCCACCTGTCAAGCATTCTGTGGCAAAACGCTCCCAAATCATGCAATCACTGATACAGACACTGAAAGCTTGCACTTTCTCACCAACAAATCTGACAGAGAGACAAAAATAGATTCCTGGAAGAAGTGGTCTGAATGAAAACTGTGCACGTTAAACAATCCACTTACTGTCCATTTACTGTGCACAGATCCCTGACCCTTCCTAAGTATTCCCAGAGGTAAGACAAATTCTTGTTTGGCCACACCCAGAAGTGTTTAGGAGTTACTCCTTGCTCTGCACTCAGGAATAACTCCTGGAGGTGCCCAGGAGCCCATATGGGATGCGGGGATCGAACCCAGGTCGGCTACGTGCAAGGCAAATGCCTTATTCATTGTACTATCTCTCCAGCCCTAGTAGAACAAGTTCTTTGAAGTCTGAAATAGCTGCTCACAAGATTCTTGCTATATATAACTTGGGATCTGGGTGCCCTCAGATTTCAGAGAAACAAAGTACCTCTCCATTGTTTGAATAGGATGAATTATGTTTTTTGCAGAATAGAGCATTTACACATACACTAAACCATACATACAGCTTCTCTTTATATTAACCATAAAGAAGTTGGATGGGCAGGAGGTCCATAACCAATCCAGACACATCATCTGCTATTTGTAATGAAGTGCCTTTCATCCCCTATGGCTTGGCCAAGGCCTGGCCTGGCTGTTTGATTGTTGCTGCCTCTGTTTCCTGTAGGATCGGCAAGCCTGAGGAATGTGCGGGCATCGTGTCCTTCCTGTGCTCTGAGGATGCCAGCTACATCAATGGGGAGACCGTGGTGGTGGGTGGAGGGACGCCATCCCGCCTCTGAGCATCTGGAAGTTGCCCCACAAGAAGTCTGACCTTCAGTTCCAGGGTCTGTGACAGGCATTTCGCAGCTCTGCCTGTCCTACTGCCCCCCTTACGTTCGCCTGCAAAATCAGTCCTGCAGCTCATCCTTCCCTGCACTCAAGGCATGGTCTTAGAAGGATCCCGGTGTTTTTTTAGTCATGGAAAGACACCTCCGTAGAACACAGGGCAGGCAGGCCAGCTGAGAAGACTGGGTCTATCTTGGCAAAGAGGTATAGAAATTTTTTGTTTTCCTGAGGGGCCAGAGAGAGAATATAGTGGGCATGGTGCTTGCCTTGCACATGGCCCACTAGGGCACTAGGGCACAGCCTGGTCCCTTGAGTACCTCCAGGAGTGATCCCTGAGCACAGATCCAGGAGTAAGTCCTGTGTTCTACTAGTTGCATACACCCCCCAGGCCCCACCCCACCCCCAAAAAGAATTTTTTTTCTGAGCATCTGGGGGATTTGAGGGAGATGGGGGAGAAGGAACCTGGAACAGAAGAAGCTGGACGGGGAAATTAACTTGCAAATGAGGTGCAAATAAAATGCAGACGATCCTATTGCTTGGAATCTGCGTGTTCATTTTTTTTACTACTGGGTGCCTAGGTGTGGAAGCCGAGCTGAGAAGTCTGAAGGCACTGTTGGATATCTGGATCCCCTCCTTCTCCTCCAGGTCTGCAGAACCTCAGCCTGACACGCTCGTGGGTGGGTGGAGGTGTCTGCAGAGCTGCCAGCGGGAGGAAGTGGCACGGGAACTCCCAGGTGCTACGCGCACGGCCTCCCAACGGTGGGGATGGTGCCAAGGACAACGGAAGGGATCCCGCAGGCTGGACGAGCGGGAAAGGGGAATGAACTCCCCCGGCAGCCCTGGTCAAGACCTGTCCCGACTTTGCAGTGGGCACAGTCTAGCCTGGAAAGGGGATGGGATGGGGGGATGGGGGGGTCATCGAGGACAAGATGGACAGGTCCCTAGCCAGCGAGGCGGAAACAGGAGGGGCCGTGCAAAAGGACGACCCGAGGAGAAAGAGGAGGGGGGGTCCCTGGGACTACAGACAAAAGACTCGGGGTCCTGCTCACGGGGCGGACGGAGGGGGCTCGGAAAGCGGGCACACAGCTGCCCCCGGCCCCGGGGGATGGCCCGCATGCGGGAGGCGCGCACGGGAGCCCGCGGAGTGGGAGGGGGCGCGGGGTCTCCTGCGGGGCGGAGCGTGGCGCGCGTGCGCAGTGAGGCGGGGGCCGGGCGGGGCGGGGGCCGCGCGCGGGGCGGGGGGTGCGGGAGGTGGAGGAGGAGGAGGAGGAGGAGGAGGAGGAGCGCGGCCGCCCTGACGGGAGCGGGCTCGGCGGCTGCGGCAGCCTCAGCGCCCGGGCCCTGCCGGAGCCGGGTCTAGCATGTGCCGCGGCTCCCGGGCGGCGGCGCGGCGGCGGCGGCGGTGGCGGCGGCTCCACTGCAGCGGCGGCGGTCATGGCCAAGTCCGGCGCGGAGCTCACCCGCGAGCTGCAAGGTACGAGGCTGCGGGGGTCTCTGGGACGCCCCGTCTCCAGCCCAGTCCGGGTGCCTCCCCCCGACACCCCCCCCACGACACGCGCGCGCGCGCACACACACCTCCCTCCTCCCCTGCACCCCAGTCCCGAGCATCCTCCGCTGCGCGCCCCGCCAGGACCTTTCCTGTCCCGGAGCCTCCTGGCTCGATTCGTCGGGGACAGCAGCCGTCACCGTGCTTCCCCCGAAGGCTGACCCTCGCTCCTCCCACCCCCCCCCCCCTCCCCAGCCTCAGCTAGGTGTCCACTCTCCCCCATCCTGCGAGTCCCCGCTGCCCCGCCGGGCGCTGGGAGCTGCCCCTGGTCCTGACCGCCTCCCCTGGTCCTCCCCGCCCTCCTCGCGGCCCCGCCCCGGAACCGGCCCGGGAGAACCCCCCTCCCCGCCCCCCTTAGGAGGCCCCTGGGACACTGGAGGGGAGTGGAGAAAAGAGGCCTGGATTGGAGCTGAGACCCTGCGCGGGTCTCTGCGGCGCCTCCCACCGCCCCCCGTCCCAGCCTGCCCGCTGCGGGTCACCCCACGCGCCCGCCGCCAGGCCGCTCCTGTGCGCGGTGGTTCTCAGACTCCAGTGAGGCCTGAACCCCAGGCCCGCCCTGACCGTGACCTACCCCACTACCCCCAGATTCAGGGGCACAGGCCAGCCCAGCGCGGGGAACTGGGCGAGCACACTGCACCCCCGCAGTATCCCACACCGAGTGCAGGTGTGTGCATCCCGGTCTTCACAGAAACTGCACACACTTGCCTTCACACACGCAGGGTTTGCCGGCAGGGGTGTACAGAGCTCACTTAGACACTAACTTCTTCCCACCCCTAAGTCACAGCACACGCGCGCAGACACAAACACACACACGCACACACACGCCTTTCACCTCGGCACAGCTACTCATTCACACTCCCCTGTCACCTCACGCTGGCATGCACGCCCCGGAATCATCAGACCAAGCAAAAGGCAAATGCACACCCAGATCCCCCAGAAGACAGTCCCAGGGACACCCCCACGCCCCCACACACTGACTCACTGTGTGTGTCTCCGGCTGCTGGCGTGCACGGGCTGGAAAGATCCTTCACACCCTCAGAAGTGTAAGACACACCCTCCCACAGTGCCTCTACGCACTTGCCCTGACGCAGGGGGCCCCTCCCCACACCCCAGCCTCCCCCACACCCCTGTCCCTCTCACAGAGAACAGCACCCAGGCGGGCTCCGGGCTCCCTCTCTGTCCCTGCCTACACTGCTGCTCTCTCATTCTCCCTCCTCCCATCTGACCTGGAGAGCCCAGGCAGGACCAAGGTAGCACTGAGCAGCCCCCTCCCCGCAGACAGCATCCGCCGGTGTCTGAGCCATGGGGCTGTGCTGCAGCAGCATCGCGTGAAGCTGGAGACTAAGCCCAAGAAGTTTGAGGACCGCGTGCTGGTGAGGGCACTTTGCTGGGGGCACCAGGGGCATGGAGGCAAGGAGCCGGGGGACAGAGGTGGGGCGAGGTGAGGAGATGCAGCCAGGGAGCATGTTCAGGAGCTAAGAGTGGGGTGTCAGAAGGCTGGGACCACTGCTATGAGGGGACTCAAGGAAGAGGGGTCTCCCAGCGCAAGACCAAGTGATTCTCTCTCTCTTTCTCTCTCTCTCTCTCATTCTCTCCCTCCCCCCTCTCTTTCTAGGCTCTGACCTCCTGGCGCCTCCACCTTTTCCCCATTAAAGTCCCCGCCAAGGTGAGTGAGTGGTGCTGGGGAGCTTGGCCCGGTTCCCTCCTGGCCCTTTCCCCTGTGCTGTGCTGAGCTGAGCCCCGCACCCCTAGGTGGAAAGCTCCTTCAACGTGCTGGAGATCCGCGCCTTCAACACCCTCGCCCAGAACCAGGTGAGCACAGGACCAGGGACACGGTGGGAGGAGGTGGTACGTGTCTGAGGCCTGCTGCTCCCCCCAGATCCTCGTGGAGACCGAGCGGGGCATGGTGAGCCTGCGGTTGCCCTCAGCAGAGAGCGTGGACCAGGTGACGCGCCATGTGAGCACGGCCCTCTCCAAGGTCTGCCCAGGCCCCGGGTGAGTGGCAGAGGCCTGGTTCCCCGGACCCCCATGGTCTGTTCCTCCTTCCCTCCTCCCCAGGGCACACCAAGGAGAAGAGGTTTCTCCTGTCCCCTCTAAGAGGGTCCGGAAGCTGAAACAGGGGGAGAGGGGCAAGTCTCTGAGATGGATTTGCTCATCTTGCAGGTGCCTCATCCGGCGTGGAAACGCAGACACCCCAGAAGGCCCCCGGGACACCTCCCCCAACTCTGAGACGTCCACATCCACCACTCACAGTGTGTGCGGTGAGCAGGGGCAGACTCGGGAGGGCACGCTGGAAGCACCTGTCCAGAGTGCTGTGTAGACAGGGCTGTGCCGCCCATGACCCCACCCCGCCTCTGGGCCATAGAAGTTCCCCCTGTAGGAGGCCTCCCACTTCCCTTTCCTTCAGCCCCAGGCTTTCTCCCACCCCGGGGCTCCTCATGGAGCCAGCCCACCCCCTGCCTCACAGGTGGCTTCTCCGAGACCTATGCAGCCTTGTGTGACTACAACGGGCTGCACTGCCGCGAGGAGGTGCAATGGGTGCGTGGGGCGGGGCCAGCAGGTGGGCATGGGACCAGCGGGTGGAGTGAGGAGGAAGGAGAGGGGAAGAAGGAAAGAGGAGGGGGGAGGGAGAGGAGGAGCAGGAGGAGGGGGAAGGAAAGGGAGGAGGAGAGACAGAAGGGAGGGGAGGAGGGGGAGAGGGAGGAAAAGGGGTGAGAGGGGAGGCAGGAGAAAGGGGTAGAGGAAGGGGGGGGGCGGTGAGCTGGAGGAGGAAGAGGGGGAGAGGGAGGAGGAAGAAGTCACACAGAGGGAGGAGAAAGGGGCAGAAGAGGGGGAGAGGAGAGAAAGGCAGGAGCAGGAATGCAGGTGTGAGCCAGTCTTACCTCTCCAAGGATGTGGACACCATCTACCACGCCGAGGACAACCGGGAGTTCAATCTTCTGGACTTCAGCCATCTGGAGAGCAGGTAAGCCCATGGCAGGGACCCCCCAAGACCAGCCTAGCCTAGCCCTGGCCCTTCCAGACGTGCCCTTCCCCTGGCTTTGCTGCTGCCCCACCTCTGTCCCCCCATTCCCATCCCCTGCTCCCTCCCTGCCCCCCTCAGCCCCCCAACTGCCAGCCCCCAGCCAGCTGCTCCCCACGTCCCTGCTCCTTCCCGCCCCCACAGAGATCTGGCCCTCATGGTGGCCGCCCTGGCCTACAACCAGTGGTTCACCAAGCTCTACTGCAAGGACCTGCGACTGGTAGGGACCAGAAACCCTGGCGGCGGTGGAAGGGGTGGGTTGGGGGGCTGCCTGTCTGCCTCTGGACCTCAAGACTCCCTCTGTCCAAAGGGCTCAGAAGTGCTGGAACAGGTGCTACATACCCTCAGCAAGTCGGGAAGCCTCGAGGAGCTGGTGATGGACAACGCCGGCCTTAAGACGTGAGGCCAGCCTCCTGCCTGGCCAGTAGTACCCCAATATAGTCTTAGGGTTCCAAGGCTCCAAGCATGGGATCGGCCTCTGAGCTAGGTCCTCCAGCACCTCACTTCACTGAAGAGGAGACTGGGCAGCGGTCAAGCGGGGCCTTCCCTAGCCCCTTAGCTGCCCCCCACAGCAGTCTCCCCACTGTTTCCTTCCTCCCTCCACTCCTGAGCGGGGTGGGCCGCCCCGGGCCTGAGGACCCACAGCTGGACTCCCGGGCGCTGGCGTGGGGGCTCCCTGGTAGACCCCCTGGGGCCCTGTGGTTCAGCCCCAAGCAGACAGGCAGAGGAGGAGGGAAGCCCCCGGGAGGGTGCTGGGACAAACAAGTCCTTCCTCCCCTTCCCCGAAGGGACTTTGTCCAGAAGCTGGCCGGGGTGTTTGGGGAGAACGGGAGCTGTGTGCTGCATGCCCTCACTCTGTCCCACAACCCCATCGAGGACAAGGGTGAGCCCCAGCCCCGAATCTCACCCCCACCGCCATGCAGACCCCGTCCTCACCCAGAGCCCCACCGGAGTCTGAACAGGG